AAAACAGTGTCATAAAAAGACTCATAATGTCATTTCATTAATAGCTTTGAAATTGGAGGCCGGGGACCCCACAATTCAACCTGGAGTTATCCTAGCAGCATTAGGGCATCGCCACACTACTCTCGGGGTGTGCAAAATGAGAATGAACTGCCCGCTAGAACGTGGCCAGATGCACCTACCACATTTTTGTCTTTTTCACATTTGGAGAGTGGTGTGGCGAGGCCCTTAGCCAGTTTCGCTTATGATGTAACGGGTAGATCAAATCCCTGTTCCCTTTGCTTTATTTTCTTTTTCCTTTCTTCCCATTCCTTTTCTGTTACATCTCCTGTCTCATTCAGATCCATTATGAGATCCGGCAGCCTTCTTTCCTCCTGGGTTCTCTCTCTCTCTCTCTCTCTCTCTCTCTCTCTCTCTCTCTCTCTCTCTCTCTCTCTCTCTCTCTCTCTTTTTTTTCCCTCTCAATTTTCAAGACCTGATCTTAAGTGAAGAGTCCTCGAAGAATCCCTAAAGATAGAGCCTCTTCCTTGAGCGATTCAATAACGGAACCTCAAGTTAAGGATGGTGAGATTAGTGGGTCAGTGCAGAGCCCAGTACATAGTAGCCAGCTTTTGCTGACAGGCAGTGACAGCTAAAGGACGCGGAAAGGTCTTCACGAGTCAGAACCTAGGCTACCAGAGTGGCCCGGGACCACTTGCCTGGCCAGGCCAAAAAAACAAAAAGGAAAAAAAATAATAATAATAAAAAAAATATATATATATATATATACAGGGTCACCAGCCCGTACGTACGGAGGTCCCCGGGCCGACCTCCGTACGTACGGGCGTTCGGGGTCCCGTAAGGGGTCCGAACCCGACGGCGTTCGGCCCCTGCCAAAAATTATTTCGGGGCCTAAAAATATATATTTTTTTCTGAATTTTGTTTTGTGAGTTCTCTATGACGTGAGGTACATGCCTATAAATTTTGACGTCATTTGGCTCAGCCAAATAAGAATTAAAAATCGCCAAAGATGGCGGTGTCAAAACGTGCTCGCCCACGTTTTTTTAACTTTTTTCACTTTTTACTTTTTGTTTTCACTTTAGTTCAGGGTCCAAAAACTTCTATTATTTCTTGAAACTTTTTTAGGGGGGTTTGTATTATGTGAAGTACACATCTGTAAATTTTCAGGGCATTTAGCTGGGCCCAAAAATAATGAAAAATCGCCAAAGATGGCGGTGTCGAAAACGTGCTCGCGCACTCACTAAATTTAATTCTCTTTTTATTTTTTGTTATTTAAACTTATTTTTATTATTAGTATTTTGCGAGGCACAAGGCCCCGATACACCCTACTGGGCCCTATGTTCATCACAGTCGGTCGCCCTAAGCGAAGGCAGGCTCGACCGAGGCCTACTGGCCTATTTTGGGGTCAACACGCAACTGAGGAAATTCAGGCAGTTGCGCAGCGCCAGTTGGTTGAAAGCGCCCAGGCCCTGGCCTCCTTTATCAAATGCATCTGAGTCAGGCCCTAGGCGAGATACGCAGCATGAACCCAACTCAGGCTGTAGGCAGTTGGGCACGGGTAACTGTCACAGGCCCTGGGCCTGTACTCGTTTGGACTGGGGCTCAGCCTCTGTGGGCCTACCGGAAGCTTCTGGACAGGGGCCCAGCGCAGCCAGGCTGCACGCAAGGCAGGCAGACCGCTTCCATTTAGGAAAGGGCCTGCCCACGCATTGGGCATTCGGGTGCTGGCTGCATGCTGCGCAAGCGCTGCTGTGCTATTTGCCGGCCAGCGCTCACGCGCTCACGGGCGAGCTGGAAGGAGCAGGCAGCCATAGCCGAGCTGCGCTGCTGTATGCTGGATGGGGCGCATGGTGGTCCTTGGGTGCAAGAGGTATCTGTGAGTTGAGGAACGAGGTTGTGAGTGATACGAGAGACATACCTGGTGCTTGAGGCGATCGATATTGGGCGATATCTGCTCGTACTTCGGGGAGCTGTTGACCTCATCAGCGGCATTGTAGATAGTAGGCTAGATAGGATCTGCCATCTGTAGTCTGGGCGCCGAGCGCCAGATAGGATATCGACATTGGTTCATTGTTGATGATGATGGGACAATTCGCACATTGTCACTTGTGAGCTTTTGCTGTGCTCTTATTTGGTGGAACTCGTGATGCAATTCTGCTTTTGGTTCGAGGTCACGACTATCTTGTCTCATGTGTATGATGCTGTTTGGTTCCTGGAATTCGCTATTGCTCATCTTCCTTGCAATTTGCGAGGCTGAAGCCCCGATGGGCCCCCTTTCGGGCCCTACCATACAGCACGTCGGCCGCCCTAAGTGAAGGCAGGCTCGACGAGGGCCTGAGGGCCCTTATTTTGGTCACCACGCAACTCAGGAAATTCAGGCAGTTGCGCAGCGCCAGTTGGTTGAAGGAAGCCACACCCTGGGCAGCCTGTGTGAATGTATCGAAGGCAGGCCCTGGATTGGATTCGGGATGTGGGCCTAACACAGGCCGTTGACAGTTGGGCGCGAGCAACCACTACAGGCCCAGGGCCTGAGATGTGCGGACTGGGCCTCAGCCTACCGGGGCCTATTGGAAGCTTCTTGGGAAAGGCCCAGCGCAGCCTGGGACAGCAAGCAGGCAGGCCACTTCCATATAGCAAAGGGCCTGCCTCCGCATCGGGCATTCGGGTGCTGGCTGCATGCTGCGCAAGCGCTGCTGTGCTGTAGCTCGCTGGCACTCACGCGCTCACGGGCGAGCAGGAAGGAGCAGGCAGCCATAGCCGAGCTGTGCTGCTCTAAGCTGGGTGTGGCGCAGGGTGGTCCTTGGGTGCATGTGGCATCTGTGTGTTGGGGAACGAGGTTGTGAGGGAAGCGAGAGACATACCTGGTGCTGGAAGCGTGCGGCATTGGCCGCTATCTGCTCGTACTTCGGTCAAGCTGTTGTCGTCATCTTCAGCATTGTAGTATAGGCTAGATAGGATCTGCCATCTGTAGTCTGGGCGCCGAGCGCCAGATAGGATATCAACATTGGTTCTTCGTTGATGATGATGATGAGACTATTTCAGCATTATCAATTATGAGCTCTTGGTGTGTTCTTATTTGGTGAAACTCGTGATGCAATTCTGCTGTTGGTTCGAGGTCACAACTATCTGGTCTTATGTGTATGATGCTGTTTGATTGCTGAAGTTCGCTATCGCTCATCTTCCTTGCAAATTTGTTCTCCGTATTTTATTTTTATTTCAAATTTGGTAAGGAATTTGGATGTAATGCTCAGGCAAACCTTGTTTAATTTATTTTTCTTCATAACATATCTTTTTTTCAGTTTTTTTTTTTTTTTTTTTTTTTTTTTTTTTTTTTTTT